CCACCCCCCACCCCGAGTACACTTCTCTATGCAACCTTAATTCTGGATTCCTGTGCTAACCATAATACTCAATCATATATCTCTTCTAATCTGTTATTTCCCTCATCTGTTTCAATACAATATACATAATTTATCCAGTTATAGTTTAAGTTCTCAAATGATAGTCAATATCATCATGGATGTCATGATTCTAAGCCTTGTGCAAACTTACTAAACTGGAGGAGGAAAGTCTCAAAGGTAGTCCATGAAAATCTGTATTTTACTGATTGTTCCAAAAATAATTGTGTAACCAGTCTAAGAAATAGAATATGGAAATAACTACAGTAAAGATTTATTTAGCAACACATCAAGAAATTTTAAATAGGTCTACACTTCCTGACTTTTTACCCATTCCTACTCTACATTAAAAAAGACTTACTATGAAAACAATAAAGCCACTAGGAAAAAAATATACATAGAAAAATATCTTTTAAGATCTACAGGAAAGGAAAATATCTTAAGAAACAAAAGCAAAACTCTTAAACTAAAAGCAAAATATTTAAGTACACCAAAATTATCTCATCATGTATAGATCTCAAGCACAACACAGTGAAAAAAACGAGATCTACAGGATAAAATAATTTCCTTTAAAAAGAGAAGTTAATTTAATTTCATGTAAAATGGTATTTTATAATGTTATGGATATAAATCTGTGTAGTAAAGATTATAAAAACACAGACTGAAAAGAACATACGACAGTGGTTATCTCTGAGGAAGGGAGAAGAAAATGACACTGAAGAGGAAAACAAAGTAGGTTTCAGAATTGGCTGTCAAGTCCTACATGTTTTATTTCTAAAAGTCTTAAGGGGGGAAAAAGACTAAGTTAGATGGTTATTCTCAGCATTAGAGGCTTAGTATACACACCTTTTGCTAAATCTTCTTCTTCCTTCTTGTTAGCCACAGTTTCAGGATCCTTGGCTACTAGAGCAGGGCTTGCTTTTGCTTGTTCTGCAGCCTGATATAAAGAAAGGAAGAAAATACTTGAAAGCTCTTCTCTAATTTCTCTACCCCTGACTAAGAACTTGTATGACTCTTCTCATCAAGCTACCAGATTTCTGAAGAATTCAAAGCAGATAAAAAAAGAGGCAGAATCAGGAAAAGACTGAGGGTAATAAGTTACCTAGATAACCTAGATTCACTCTCCCAGGTCTGTGCAAGGCCGTTAAACTAAAACACACAGAGTTTAACTTGGAAAGGAAGACTAAATAAAAAGATTCTAAAATCTGTAAAATACTTCAAAACCAGAAAGAAGGCTGGAAGAGGGAATTAAAATGAATATTGTAAAATCTAATAGTTAAAACATTTAAAATATATATTCAGCAGTTACATTATTTCTTTCCATATAAAAAATCAAAATGCTATCTCTAGAATTATATTAAGATTCATATTAATCATTTACACAAATGTCTATATAATTATCATCACTTTAGAAACCAAAATACAAGTAGCTTACTTTGACAATATATACACTTACTAATCTAAATATATTTTTGTAATAAGCAGTATACAAATAAACAATCAAGACAAATCAAACTCTGGCCAAGTATGCCAGCTTAATTTCCAACCATTCTAACAATTACCAGAAAACTGCCAGCAGATACTGAGCAATCTGTATATTATTGACATAGATATGCTTCTACTTCTAATGTCTTCCCTCCTTTAGCTTCACTTATTCTAGTCACATTTTTCCTCTGATAAGTTTCAAGAGTCAATAAACAGCTATAATGTCATTTTCCAAGAAAAGTTCCTAATTATCTTACATAACTATCCTCTTCAATGTTCTCTATCAATACTTTTAAACAAAGTATTATCATATGAGTGATCTAATAATGCATGTGTGAAGTAGAGAGAATTTTACATTCCACAGACAATACTTTCTAGCCAGTATAGTAACTATGTTGTGCTTCTAGTTCATGTGGAAAGGGAGAATAGCAGCATCTGAATTCATAGGTTAATGGAAGGATTAAATAACTGTCATTTCCCAAAATTAGATGATATGGGACTCATTTCATTTTAAAACAAAATTATAACACTGCCTAAGGGGCTTATATATTATAAACCTTTAATAATCATAGCATAAAGAATGTTAGAGAGCAAATGGACCTGCACAGGGGTAAAACGTTGACATTTTACATGAAATTATGTTAAATCAAAGCTGTTGTTGTTGTTGTTATGTGCCGTCGAGTCGTTTTCGACTCATAGCGACCCTATGCACAAGAGCCCTAAACCCTGCTCTATCCTGCGCCAACCGCACTGCCTCCGACACACCCATCCCGATTACCCCAGTCACCGAATCAATCCATCTCATAGAGGGTCGTCCCCTCCTGCGCTGTCCTTCCCCCCTCCCAAGCATGACGTCCCTCTCCAAGGACCCGTCCCTCCTGACAACATATCCAAAGTATGTCAGACGAAGCCCCAGAATCCTTGCCTCCAAGGAGCAGCCTGGTTTAATCCTCTCCAAGATGAATCTGTTTGTTTTCCTGGCAGTCCATGGTACATTCAGTACTCTTCTCCAGCACCACAGCTCAAAAGCATCCACTCTCTTTCTGTCCTCCCTACTCATTGTCCAACTCTCTGAGGCATAACAAGCGACTGCAAATACCATGGCCTGTATCAGGCGCACCTTAGTCTCCAGAGAGACACCGTTGTTCCTGAGTACTTTAGAGAGGTCCCTAACAGCAGACTTTCCCATCGCGATACGCTTTTTGATTTCCTGACTGCTGATGCCAAGAGTGTTGACTGTGGAGCCGAGCAAACTAAAGCTGTGAACAATCTCAATCTCTTCGTCATCCATCCTGACGCTGCCAATTGGTCCAGTGGTGAGAATCTTTGTCTTCTTGACATTGAGCCTCAGTCCATACTGAAGGTTGCAGTCCTTGACCCTTCGCAGCAAGTGCATGAGGTCCTCCTCAGTTTCAGCAAGCAGGGTTGTGTCATCTGCATAACGCAGATTGTTAATAGATCTTCCACCAATCCTGATGCCACAATTCTCTTCATAGAGCCCAGCTTCTCAGATAATCTGCTCTGCATACATGTTGAAAAGGTATGGAGACAGGATGCATCCCTGGCGTACACCCTTCCCAATTTTGAACCATGCAGTGTTACCCTGCTCTGTTCTGACTACTGCATCTTGATCCAAGTACAGGTTTCGCATTAGCACAATTAAATGTTCTGGGATTCCCATTCTTCTCAGAGTCAGCCACAGTTTGTTATGATCCACACAGTCAAATGCCTTTGCATAATCAATGAAACACAGATAGACATTCTTCTGGTATTCTCTGCTTTCAGCCAAGATCCATCTAACATCAGCAACAATATCCCTAGTACCACGACCCCTTCTAAACCCAGCCTGGACTTCCGGCAGTTTTCTGCTGATGTGCTGTTCTAATCGTTTTTGGATAATCTTCAGTAGAATCTTGCTTGCATGTGAAATCAATGACACTGTTCTGTAGTTTCCACACTCAGTTGGGTCACCTTTCTTTGGAATAGGAACAAATATAGATCTCTTCCAGTCTGTTGGCCAAGTGGTTGTTCTCCAGATTTCTTGGCACAACTTGGTGAGCACATCCAGGGCAACATCTGTTATCTGAAATACTTCAATTGGTATATCATCTATTCCTGGGGCCTTATTTTTTGCTATTTCCTTCAAAGTAGCTTGAACTTCTTCCTTCATCACCATAGGCTCTTGCTCATATGTTATTTCTTTAAATTCCTTTGTATCTGCCAGTTCCTTTCTATATAATGACTCAGTATATTCCTTCCATCTTCTTTTAATACTTCCTGGATCATTTAATATTCTGCCCAAAGCATCCTTGATTACAGCCACTCTAGGTTTGAACTTGTTCCTCAGCTCCTTGAGCTTAAGAAATGCTGAGCGAGTTCGGCCCTTTTGATTTTCCGACTCTAGATCCTCGCACATTTCACTGTAGTGTTTTGCCTTGTCATTCTGAGCAGCCTTTTGGAATCTTCTGTTCAGCTCTTTAGTATCTTGAATTCTTCCTTGTGCTTCTGCTTCTCTACGCTCCAGTGCAATCTTCAGAGTCTCTTCTGACTCTGTCTCTCTCTTACACACACACACACACACACACACACACACACACAATCATCCCCAGAGCAGCCAATTTTTAAAAACAGAATTCTCAAATATATTTCAATTACTGCATGCACAATGCTTAGAACAGTGAATGGCACAAAGTGACAATAAATTTGTTTCTATTATACTATGATCATGTTGTCTGTCTCTACAATCAGCCTGTAGGTCAGGGGTCAAGTGCAGGTAACCCATAAATAATTGTTCAGTGAATGAAAGACAAAACATTTAACATTATAGTAAAATAAAGTTCTACAATCTTTGTTTAGTGTATGACATAATATTAAAAACATCCTGATAAACCCTGGATTTCACTGAACACAACCTTCTTCACTCTCAATTGTGATCGATATCACTAGTTAAAACTTATTTAATTAGATGTGTAATCATCACACAGTTCTAAAACTTGAAGGTGTGCTTGATAAAGTGAATTCCATAGTAGTTATATCGACTTTCTGTGGTCTGTGAATGAACAACAATCAGTCCAAAAGCAAAGACCCAAAGAAGCTACATTAAGCCCAATACTTCAGGACTGCATGACACTTGATGTTCCTTTCTACTGTTAGGTGTTAAGTATAAACAGTACTGATTTTAGTAAGGAGTCAAATCCACTAACAGTGCTGGTATTAGTTATCTCTATACTATCAAAAGTTATTGCTATCAAGTCAACAGCATGAGTCAGGTGAGTGGCTGATGACTTTCCTTGTTTTATATAATATCCTTATACTTTCATTTAAAATATATACTTAGAAAACATTTCTATTTTTATGGGTTTTTTACAAATAGGCATCACAATAATCTCCTATGCCTAAAATTTAGCAGTAACAACTAATTAAGTGGCATTAAATTTAGAAGTTCAGCTAATTGAATTTAGATTTCTTTTTCCCTCAGAGTTCTTTATTCAAGCCTTTCACATTAAGTTTACTAGAAAACACTTTCAAAATCTTTTAAATAACTACTTCATCCATTTGTACTTTATATTTTACACACTTTTTGTAGCAGAAAGATAGCAACAATAGTAAAATTAACTTTTCCATTATTTTATATCTAGCTTAAGAGAAGAAAAGGAATTCTCAACTTTAACTATCATTCTCCTGTATCTTGACTCTTTTTGAACAAGAAAGTAAGCTAAGGCCTACAAAGATCAATAAATAAATGCTCCTGCCAGTGTTCACTCCACTTCTTGTCCTTGAAGCCTAGTCCGGACAAACACATATCCACTAACCTCTATATCAAACAGAAGGCAGGATCGTGTAGTGGAAAGAACACTGGACTGAGAGTCAGGAGGCCTGTGTTCTAGGTTCCAGCTCTGTCAACTACTAGCTGTGGCCCTGGACAAGTCATTTAATCATTCTGGGTCTCAGTTTCATTATCTGTAAAACGAGGGGATTTGATTAGAAGATCCCTTGAGCTTGTCTTATAGGTACCTAGAACTCTGCTTAATCAAACAACCTTATATAAAAAGTAATGAATTATTTTAAGGCAATGCTCACTTTCACTGGAAGGTATACTCAAGGGCAAACTTTAATGTACACATAAAACCATGTGGAAGTCTGGTAATATGGAGATAGTCAATCTATAGCTCTGGAACACTACCTGAAACACTGCCTTTCTAATAAATGTCCAGATGATGCCAAAGACACTGGTTAATTAAGCACACTTTAAATAATAAGATTCTAAAACAGGTTCTTGAGGTATAAAAACTACACGTTTACACTCTTTGGGTGTCAGGTTTCAGTATACTCTTTGATATCATCCCACATGATTATGTTTTCTTCATTTTCTTGCATATACTCTGATAAATAAACAGTGCTTTGGTTGTCAGGAACTTATAAAATGCCTTGGATAATTCTGAACTAAATTATTCCTTAATTATACTGATTTTCAGTATTCTGAGAATACTAAACTCAATTATCGATTATGAACGACTAGTTCTGAAAGAAGTAATTGATCATTCTAAAATTACTAATAAACCAAATGTTAAGTGAGGAGAAAGATATCCTGGGTGGGTTTGTTGGTGTTCTTTTTTTCCCCAAATTTATCTCTGGGTCTTCTTACTTCAAGGATTTACATAAATTTAAAAGGCCTTATGAAGAAAATCTACATACAAATTTGAAACCCTTCACAGCTGAGAATTTTCTATTTATGCTTTCACTATGTTCTGCCTCTATCAACAGAACAGAAGAAGGTAAATCATCATATTCAATAGTACCATAAAGCCATAGAGCATTTTAAGGGGTCTACAAAAAACAAAAAAGAAATAAAAAAAGGAAACTTTTGGTTTTTCCATATTACATAAATTGGAGATTGATGCCACAAGGTAATATTTTTATGGAATTTAAATATACTGGAGGAATTTTTTGAAAAATAAGTTACTGTTCAAGGAAGAATACTTCAAATTTTCTCTTCTTGACCTTCCCATTTTCTTATACTCAAAAATATCCTAAAGAAGAGACCTTCTAAATTCATATTTTTAAGAATTTATTATTTAGTACAATTCTTTGTATGAGACTATAGCATTAAAAGCATTTCATAAAACAATGTTGTTTGATTTAATAAAGTACTTCCTATATTTATTAAAATTATATCTAAAATCTTATCATTTCAATAAAATTAACCTACCTTTAAACCTATTCTCTTATCAAGAGGGTGAAACAGTAAAAAAGTGGAAGTAGAAATACATCAATGTGTCACTATTATATTTTTCTTGTCCCTTCAAATACAAAATTATTTTTAGCAAATACTCCTCTAAAATAGTAAAAACTGCCTACATTTGAAGGAAAAAAGTGAAAATTTCAAATTAAATGTTTTATAAAAACAAACAGAAGCACACACATAATTTTACAAAATACCTGGGAGCCAACTGCTGGAAATGTAACTCCTTGTTCCTTAAGATTCTTAATCATTGCTGATATTAAACTAAGCTGTGGATCGTTCTTAAATTCATCTGTCCATTCAACCATAAGAGCTTTTAATTTTTCACATACTTTAGGATGACCCTAAGGAAAAGAAAACAGCTAATTAGTACCAAATTTCCTGCCTAGTTGTATGGAATTGATACTTTAAATATAAAAATTACATTGTCATAAGATTCTTATTAAAAAAAAATTATGCCTAGAAGAAAAATGTACAAACAAGCAAATATAGTTGGTTCCATCAAATGAAAAAAAATTTTTTTATAATAGCAGAACTACCCCATACATGCTTCATATCACAATGAAAACCGATTCAATAAATTCTTTCAAATAACAAGGTCTGTATATCAGGAAAGCAAAGTAAATTATGTTTTTTGTTTTCTTTTTGAAAAATTAATTTTAAGGAGAGACTGAAATGTCAGTTTCTTTTTTTTTCATTTATTTATTATTTTTTGTGTGTGTACTGTCAAATCAGATCTGACTGGTACAGGAGGAGATTGCCCCTCTTTCTTCAGCAAAGCATCTGGTGGATTTGAACTGTGCGCCTCTGAAATTGGAGTGCAGCTTCTTGCCACTAGGCCACCAGAGCTCCCCAGAAAGGTCAGTTTCTAATGTGCACTGTGAGTGTTTTCCCAAGTTAATTATTTGAGGCCGTATATGTTTGGAGCTCACTGCATGCTAATCGTAGTTAGAGACGTATTTCTTCAAAACCACTTTTCCTTCCTAAAGTGTAACACCATCATTTTCATTGTAAAACATATGCAAAATTAAGAGAATGAATTCTTTTCTTCTATATATATAGCTCTGTGTTTTTAAAAATATTTGTGCTCTTCACCACAAAATCAAGTCTGCATACTAGATCTTCACTTAAAGCATAGGGGGCTCACACCCATGTTTATCGCAGCTTTGTTCACAATAGCAAAGAGTTGGAAGCAATCTAAGTGTCCATCAACAAACGAATGGATAGAGAAGCTGTGGTATATTCACACAATGGAATACTAGGCTGCACTGAAAAACAAGGAACTCATTCAATATTTAAAATGGATGACCCTGCAGGACATTAGGCTGAGTGAAATATCTCAGTCACAAAAGGACAAATATTGCAGAGTGCCACTGTTATAAAAGAGGACTGACACAGGAGTTAGGGGGGAGACTGAGAAAGATGGGATAAATTATGTATACTTCATTTAAACAGATGAAAGAAAAAACTGTTTAAAAGGGATATATGATTAGGTATTACTGTCATGACATGAGTCCAGAACGAAGGCTGCATAGTGGAGTGGACTTAAGGGAAGAGACTGTATAACAATGAAAGAATTTTTCTTTTACTTTTCAAAGAGAAGAGTGTACTGTGGAGGGAGGGATGAGGAGGCAGAAAAGCGCAACAATGAATGAGTGGAAATCCAAAATCTCTGTAAATTTTCATTAATAAAAATTTTTTTAAAAAGCATATGGTGGGAAAGGCAATAGATTCTTCATAAATCCCTGAATATTTAGTTGGACATTCAGAATGTTAAAGTAATATTTTTAATTAATGGGAATTATGTATAACTGAATATTTAGTTATTCAAAGGAAAGAATTATATAATCATTTATAAAGTTTGGAATTTTCAATTTGTAGCACACTTTTTGATTGCTTTTTCCTCCTGAACCTTAAAAGCATTCACTTTCTCTAAAAAACCTTGAAGGCATTCACTTTGCATTTTAAGTGGGAAAGGAGGTATTTTCTCTTTCTCACTTAAAATTTTTATATACAATCAAAGTAAGAATAACCGCCTTTAGAATGTACAAATTTTTTATTGGGAAAAACCACAGACTATTTACTACCTTAAATTTTTAAGACCTCAGTCACTTTTTCTAATATACTGTTAACTAGACAGCATATTATTAAATTTCTTTGATGGTCAAGATAATGGTCCTATTTTATTTAAGTTAAGATGAAAACTAACAGTACCATGTACTTCTAACATTATTTCCAAGTGCTTCCACAATAGGAAAACATTCCTATGTTTAAAGAAATGATGCTTAGAGCTTACTGGTATTATTTAACCAGATAAAGAATGTACTGATTAGCCAAGGACTAGAAAGGGTAAAAAACAAAAGTACAGCCTAGTCCTTCATGAAGAACTGGTGGGACAAAGGTTCAACACTCAACTGTCACCCAAAAGATCAGCTGTTCAAACTCCCAAGCCATTCCAGATCTATCAGAAAAAAAGAGTTGATAATCTGCTCCCGTAAATTTACTCTAGAAAACCATAGAGGGTAGCTCTGCTTTGTTCTGTAGGATCTTTAAGAAACAGAATTGATGTAACAACACGTAATAAATCTTTAATGATTTAGAATGCAGAAATTTCAATAAATGAAGAAATAAATCAGCCTTAATTTTCAGGAAATACTATTTCTTACCTTATTTAATACGTTGCTTACTTCACTAGCAAAATCTCTTGAACATACTTCCAAATGAAAAATTTTGCCACAGTTTGATACACATGCTCCCAGAAGCTAAAAGTATGAAATTAAACGTTAAAAGTTAATGAAAAATAAAGCTCAATGTTGGCACATCATTTTGTGGAAGTGAAAAATGAAATCACTTACAGTCAAAGCTTGCATAGCAACATGAGGATCTTTATGGTTTACCCGCCTCATAATAGACCGAAGACAATCTTTAGGTCTAGAAATAAGAATTAAAACAATCAACCAGTATTACATCCAACACTTTTGCTCTGTTGTTAGGTAATACTTCCCCTTACCTGTATTTAGTAGGCAACAGACTATCATACAATAAGGAGAAGGTAACCTAGCAGAGAGGTTCAATCTTCATCAATTACACATTTCCAAAATTGATAGAAACAAATTCCTTTAAAATTTTTAACCAAGCACTAACAGTCTTGTTTAGCAATCTTAGATTAGCATTTCAGACTAATGCTGACTGGGGCCGGGGGGGAGTGATGCTGAAAATAATACAGTCAGCAGCAAAACCACCACTTCTAATCATGACAGAATAAATGGAAGTTAACTTACTCCTGCTGTAAAAAAATAACTTGGGAAAAGTATTTCTGTTCCATTTGTTCTAAATTCATAACTACTTTAGAACACTAGTCATAGGCAATGCAGAATGATTTACCCCAGGAAAAAAAAAGTAAATAATGATCTGTCCCAACTTTCTAGCTATAAGCATGTGGTGTTAGGGTTTCCTAGACAATGAGTTTGACTTTGCCATGTGAGTAGGCAGAGCTATGTGAATAGAATGTGTTAGCCTATCGACAAAGGGAGTGGGCTGTCTGTCCATTAATCTGAGCAGACTCAGCAGCAGATTCTCAGAATCTCAGTACCAGCAAAGGAATAGCAAGACAATAAAACCCACCCTTCTAGATCAGAGTCTTGCATCAGCCAGACCTCCAAGAACAGCAGCCCTAACAGGCACAGCAGAGAACCAGTGATCTGACATGAGGCAGAGCTGACTTTAGGACTGCTATGTCATGGGACCAGAGCTTAGAGTCTTTTGCCCAAGTCTACTGGAAGACTGGGGTTAGAGGTCAAGGAGGAACCATAACTGGCAGAACTGAGAGATTTGTAACACTGGCTTAGAGCCACGAGGCTGAAGGCTGAGGTGCCTGCTGGGGCATTTCAGAAGCTTTCCTGATTGAGCAATTATATCAAGCTGGATAATAGTGTTTTTTAAAAAACTTACTTTATATTGATTTGCTTACAAAGTTCACATACATTGTTTCATACCATTATTCTATTATTGTTATAAAATCATCACTGAACTACATCCACTAAAGTATAGCCTTTTGATTTCCCTAATATGGTTTTGTGTGGTCTGTGAATTATCACAATGGATTTTGGACCCCGTAGAGCAGTAAGAATGGTGCTGGGATGGGAAGTGTTGGAGATAAGTTTGACCGCATGTGAATCACTTTTGTGTTGTAGCTGTTGTTGACAGGGACAGTTCCTCTTTGTAAAGTTGGTAGAGGTAAGACATGGCTGTCCCCATGCAGTCCTTGTTCTTCTTACAAGGTACTTTCCAGAACTCTAGGCAGGCCTACTGTCTAGAGGCAGTTTCTGAATCTCAGAGCAGGAAATGTGAGTCTCTAAGAAAAATAGTAAGATGAAGAGAAAGAAATGGAAATTCAGAAAGGTGTAAGGGAACTGAAATGTAGAGAGACTTAAAAAAATAAGGGTTCAGATAATGCCACAGGGGTCACCTTAACTCTCTATTAGTACATCTTATTTGCTGTTGCTGTTGAGCAGGTTCTGAGTAATGGTCACCCCAATAGCAGGTTTTCAGAGGCTGTAAGTCACACAGGAAAATATTTCCCATCCTTCTCCTACAGCTGGTGGATCTGAACCCTTTTTTGGGTTGACAGTTTACCACCTTACGCACTAAGCACCAGAGCTCCTTTTTACTGAATATTTTTGCGTGCCATCGAGTCAGAATCACCTCACAGCTGACCCTCCAGCAGGTTTTCAGAGGCAGTAAATCACACAGGAGGAGACTATCCATATTTCTCCACATAACAGCTGATGAATTTGATATGCCACCTGTATAGGACAAACCAGGTCCCTAGTGGCAGAGTGATTAAGCTGCATAGCTGCTAATCAGAAGACTGGAAGCTTGAATCTGCCAACAACTTCATGGGACAAAATATCTACTGTCTTGAAAACACAATGAAGCAGTTCTATACTGTCTAATAAGGTTAACATGAGTCAGAATGGACTTGATACCAGTAGTGTTCAGATCAAGGAATAATAAATAAAAGACAATAATTGAGACAAAGAGGCATATTACATGATGAGCACATGCATTCACCAAGAAAAAAATACCAACAAAAGAACATCAGAATACATAAAGAAAAAAAAATTGAAAGGAAAAGCAATCAACTGGAATGTTCAACAAATGTATTACTATCTGGTATAATTTATAGATGTTGCATGAACCATGTTACTAAGTTTGCCCAACTTTTATATAAACCATAAAACAAATTTTTAGAAAATAAAAACTGTATAATCAGGTCATGTTGTATAAAGCAAAACCATAATAAATTCAGTGAAGTTTCATTCAACTCTTGCTCATGGCTCTTGCTGTGGTGATGAAGGAAGAAGTTCAAGCTGCTTGGAAAGAACTGGCAAAAAAAAAGGCCCCAGGAATTGATGGCATACCAACTGATTTCAACAAACAAATGCTTCCCTAGAAGTGCTCACCAAATTGTGCCAAGCAATCTGAAGGACAATCATCTGGCCAACTGACTGGAAGAGCTCTTCATTTGTCCCCATTTCAAAGAAAGGTGATTGGACAGAGTGTGGAAATTATTGAACAATATCATTAATATCACATGCAAGCAAGATTCTGCTGAAGATGATCCAAAAATGACTGGAACAGCACAACACAGAACTGCCTGAAATGCAGGCTGGATTTAGAAGATGCCGTGGCACTAGGGATATTATAGCTAATGTCAGATGGATCTTGACTGAAAATACCAGAGGAATGTCTATCTGTGTTTCGTTGACTAAGCAAAGGCATTTGACTGTGTGGCTGACTCTGAGAAGAAAGGGAATCTCAGAATACTTGATTGTGCTTATGAGAAAAATATACATGGACCAGGAGGCAGTCATCAGAACAGAGCAAGGAAACACTTGTATCGTTGAAAATTGGGAAGGATGTGTGTCAAGGATGTGTCGTTCTATCTCCATATCTTTCTATCTATATGCAGAATAGATTATTTGGGAGGCCGGGCTTTATGAGAGGTGTGGCATCAGGATTGGAGGTAGACTCATCAATAGTCTGCATTATACAAATGACACAACCCTGCTTGCTGAAACTGAGGAGGAACCTGAAGCACTTGTTACAGAAGGTCAAGGACTGTAGCCTTCAATATGGATTGGAGCTCAATATCAAGAAAACAAAGATTCTCACCACTGGGCTGACTGGCAGCATCATCATAGATGGTGAAGAGACTGAGATTGTTGACAGCTTCAGTTTGCTAGGCTCTACAATCAACACTTTGGTACCAGCAGCCAGGAAACTAAAAGGCGAATTACAAGTCTGCTGTCAGAGACCTCTCCAAAGTACTGAAGAGCAACAATGTCAGTCTGGAGACTAAGGTGTGCCTGATACAGGCCACAGAAGGGAGAGTTGATGCCTTTGAGCTGGGGTGCTGGAGAAAAGTATAGACTATACCATGAGACCAGGCTGTTCCTTGGAGGCAAAGATTCTGAAGCTTCGTCTGACATACTTAGGACATTTTGCAAGGCAGGATCAGTCCTTGGAAAGGGATGTCATGCTTGGGAGGGTGGAGGGACAGCACAGGAGAGGAAGACCCTGGATGAGATAAATTGATTCAGTCACTGGAGAAATGGGAATAGATGTGTTGGAGACAGTAAGACTGGCAAGGGAGAGAAGGGCTTAGGGCTGTTGTACATAGGATCACTATGAGTCACAGGTGACTTGATGGCATATAACAACAACAACAATCATTCAACTCAGAGTGACTGGAACTGCACAACAGAGAACTTTTGTGCAACACAATAAAACAATGCTGTACTTGAGTTCACTATAGCAAGCATGGTGTCCATATATCTCACTGAGGGTTCCTTTTTTGGTGGTCCTCTACACTGCAATGATGATGTCCTTTCCTAGCAACTGGTCTTTCCTGATGACATGTTCAAAATCTTGCCATCCTGCCTCCTAACGAGCATTCTGGTTATATTTCTTCTAAGACTGATTTGTTTAATCTTCTAGAAATCCACAGCATATTTAATATTCTCTGCCAACACCACAGTTTGAATGCATCCTTCTTTTAGGATTCTTTTTTATTATCCAGCTTCCAAGGGCATCTGATGCAACTGAAAAGACTACGGTTTGAGTTTGGCTTGGTCATCAAATTGAGATCTTTGCTTTTTAAGTCTTTAAAGAAGTTCTGCAGTAGATCTGTCCAATGAAATATGTTGTGATTTCTTGACTACTTCTATAAACACTGACTGCTGCTTCGAATAGGAAGAAATTAGTGTCAACTTCGATTTCTTTTTAATTTATCAAGAAGTTGTTTATTATTGGTCTAGTTGCGAGAATTTGTGCTTTAAGGTAAGATTTAATTACTTGGAAGACTATCATATTTAATCTTTATCAGTAAGTACTTCACATCTTCATTTTTAGCAAGTGAAATTGTGTCATCCTCTAATCCCAGATAGTTAATTAGCATTATTCCTATCCTGTTGCATTCCTGTTCACACATTGCAGGGTTTTGGGTGGCGTTTTAAGAGTGTAGATCAAACAAATAAGATGAAGGGATAGAATCTTGCTGCAACCATGCAATCTCCTTCACCTTTTAGAGCAACTTCTTCATCCATGTATTTTATACAAGCAAAATTAAGTGTTCTACAATTCTGAATCTTCATCATTTGTTATGATCCACACACTGACTATTTTATCTGTTTATCATACTGTAGGGACTTACAAATTGCTATCCACGACAGCAAAAGTTAGCCACCAGTATTTAAAATATCAACAGGGCTACTCATGGTAGAGAAGTTACAATAGAGCTTCCGAAGAATAGGAAGAAGAGCCTAGAGATCCACTTCTGAAAATCGGCCAATGAAAAATAATTAATCATTTTCTGTATAGATGTGTGCCATGTACTTTATAAGGCAGCAAAAAGGAATAGCACCTTT